TGTACAATTCTGGCTTTTTCATCACAAACTGAATGCCTTAGAGTTCTAAAATGTTCACACTGCTGTATTTTTCCCCTTAGGTGAAAAGAAACATGTTTACACCAATGCCAAAAAGCAGATGTTAATTTCTCTCGCTCCTCCTGTTCTCACCCTTCATTTGAAGCGATTTCAGCAGGTACCCGTTTGTTACCTGAAATGAATTTTAAACATGTAACACCTGCTTTATTTATGTGTCAATGTAATAATTTTTCTTTGGTTTTCTGTTACTTCTTAATTCTACGTCAAAGAAATTTGAAAGTAAATATATATGTGTTTGTAAGACAAAAATTTTGATTAAGGTGCAAGTCAAGGAGTTGGAGGGTTTAGGCACAGTTCTTCCCGTTTACTAGAGTTCACATTGCTCTTCTTAGTGATGTGAGCATTGCTGCAGCTTTAGTTACGTGCCCCCCTTAGAGCTGGCCCACGTGGAGGCCGAGTGCCTCTCAGAAGAGCATTCTGCTCAGTTTTCAGCACCAGACCTCAGGTCTAACGCGCGCTCCTCACTGCCGAAGCAGAAACGTCGTTTCCTCACAGGAGCAGCTCTCGTGTGTGTGTGTGTGTGTGTGTGTGTGTGTGTGTGTGTGTGTGTGTCTGTGTGTGTCTGTGTGTGTGTGTGTGTAGCCACGTAGCCACACCTTCAGCTCAGTGAGAGACTGAAGTCGGGCGGCAGGGCTGGTGTCCGTAGCATGCACAGCTTGTGCAGGGCAAGAACCTAAACCCACTCCTCTTTTTCAGGCTGGTTTTAACCTACGCAAAATTAACAAGCACATAAAATTTCCGGAGATCTTAGATTTGGCTCCTTTTTGTACTGCTAAATGTAAGGTAGGTACAATTTTCTTTTTGTGAAAATTCTTTAAAGGGAAATCATCCTTTCACAAATAGAGCCTCAGCTCACCACGTGTGAAGTTGAGGAGTATTTCGGAGCAGAGTGGACCTTTGGCTCCTGTGCCTTCAGACTTTCAAGGTCTGTGATGAATTGTTTTGAACGTCAGCTTTCAGTTCAGCATTTTTTGAACTCCCATTATTGTGGCAGACGTTATCTGGGGAACTGAGGGCACAAAACTTAACGGTGAGCAGACAGTGACGGGCACAGTCTGTTCAGTGAGGCTCAGGGTAAGATTGGTGCACACGGAGCAGGGTGGCTCCAGGAGGTTCTGTCGAGTGGACACGTCTCAGCCAGCACTGGCCTGGGACTGGTGCGTGAGTGGAGTGGCCATGTGAGGTGGCATGGGGCAGGGGTGCAAGCAGTCCTGGAGCTCACAGGGCGAGGTCTGGGGAGTGTGGGGACCTGAGCTAGGAAGCTGGCATTATTAGGCGAGCAGTGTGGAGCCACAGAAGCAGGTCCCTGAAGATCTGTGAATTACGTGGGCTCTGCCTGAAGCCTGGAGGCTGGGCTTTGAGGAGGAAACTAGAGGCAGGGGAACTAGTTGGAAGGCTGTTGAGTTCCATCTGTGGATGCTGGGCTTAAACTAGGGCAGGAGAAAAATTAACCAGATTTGTGATCCAGTGCCCTGCAAGATAAGACGGAGGCCTTTTCATAAATGCTGAGGGTGACCAGAAAGAGGTGGAGCGTAGATCCCAGGGCCTGGCTGAATGACTGGGAGTGTAGGCAGAGGGAATGCCATACATTGATATGGGAAACCCACAAAGAGTGAGTGGAGAAAGTTGATAGTGTTCTGTTTGGGGCACAGAGTTTCAGACTTAGCCATCAGAGCTAGGTGGTGGTTCAAGCTGGGAGGTGAACGCAGAACCCTGGCTGTCAGTGATCTGGAGGTGGAAGTCTGTGCCCAGTTTGAATACACTAGTCTAAGTACATGAGTCTTACTTTATCCACGAAACTTGAAATGACAGGAATTCCTCTTCCCTATCTAAACTGCCTGCAGCGGGTTTCAGAGCTGGCAGGTAGTGAATTGCAGTTAGTGTGTCCGTAGGCCCCTGCCACTTTTGCTGTAGTTTTGAATACAGAGTATCGGGAATCCAGCTTTTGCTTAAAATGCCATTGCCCTTTGTTCAGATTCAAGGGAAGGGCCACATGTCATTGACATTAGAATATCAGAGAACAAGAGTGGCAAGTAGTACTGACTGAACAGTGTTGGGATCATGGCAAACTTCATGTGCTGTTAACTTACAAGGATTGAGACAGGAGATCCTGGGGATAAAGCAGGTAATCCATGAAGAGGTTTGGTTGGAAAGGAAAAATGGCAGATCCTTGAACATTTTTTTTTTAAATCTGAAAGACTTAGGTAGGCTTGGAGTCAAGAGGAAAATGTAGACCTTGAAGATACAAAAGGTACAGATCCTTGATATGGGAAGGCCCTGAGGACGACATGGCATGGCAAGGAGAACAGGCCCTGTGTAGTGTAGGTGAGGCTGTGCGTTTCCTGCAGTGTAGGTGAGGCCAGTTTCTGTGAAGGACATCCAAGGAAAAGTGACAGGGTTGTACAGTCACACTGAGGACCTGCTAAGGGAGGAATTCATGAATGTACTGCCTACATGTACAATAGTTTCCTAGCAACAGCAGCTGTGTGGCTGGTTTGTGATGAACTGATGTGGCCATGCTAAGTGCGTGCAGGAGGTTGTGATGCTCAAGGTCTCAGATCTCCAACGCTAACGGGCATTGGAACCACCAAGGAATCATTAGGCCAGGGGTCTGAGCTTCTGCATTTCTAAGCTCTCAGGCCGTCCCATTGCTACTGTTCAGTTACACTGAGTCTTGGACAGGTTGTTTTTATTTATTTTTTTTAAAGGATTTTTATATTTATTTACAGAGAGAAAAAGGGGAGAGTTTTTGGACACGTTTTGTCTGGGACCAAAGGAGGCAGGAGAAAGTGGGACTGGAGGGTCCTGTTAGGTTAGTCTGGTGAAGCGAGGTTGGAAGAGCTGTGCACCGAGGTTAGACTTAGTCAGAATCTTGAACAGCCTTGAGCGGTGAGGCTAAACTATTATAGAACAGCAGGGACAGTACTGAGGGTCTGGACAGTTCCCAAGGAGGGTGGCTGTATTTGGGGTAAAGCAGCATTAAGTGAAGAGGGGTATTGATTAGAGCTGGATGTACACACAGCACCACTGGAGGGCAGGTGCTGGTCGAGTGGTTGATAGTGGCCCCAGCTGGAGACACCTGTCCAAGTCCATCCAGCCCGTAACGGGCGGGACTGAGGCTCCAGAGGCAGAGCCAGCCCCTCATTGAAGTCTGGGGCGAGGAGGGGAAGGGGACGGGAAAGGGGAAATGTTTTGAAATGTGGTATTTTTTAGCAGGATGAGAGTGGTTGAAGCTTTTGGGATTATTTGATGCCAACTCTCCTGAACGAACTTGGGCAGAAGCGATGCCATGGGATGGCCTCTGGGAAAGGGCCGTGGCTACTTTGTAGGCAGAGTGGACTTGGCTCAGTGGGCAATCAGAGTCAGCCTCACTGATGACCTCTGTGTAAGACACATGGTCATGCGCACATTTCCTGTGTAGAAGGTACAAGAACTAACACGCGAGTCCTGTTGGTTCTACAGAATGTTGCTGAAGAAAGCACCAGGGTGCTGTACTCCCTGTATGGAGTCGTGGAGCACAGCGGTACCATGAGGTCCGGGCACTACACTGCCTACGCCAAGGCGAGAACGGCAAACAGTCGCCTGTCTGACCTTGTTCTCCGCGGGGATGTCCCCCAAGGTAAGCTCTTCAGTCCTGGGAATGTGGCATACACACGGCAAACCGAACAGTGAAGAACCAGAATCATCCCATTTACACTTAATTTTCCATCTCCTTGGCAGATTTTGAAATGGAGTCAACCAAAGGGCAGTGGTTTCACATCAGCGACAGCCACGTGCAAGCTGTGCCTACAGCGAAAGTCCTGAACTCACAAGCATACCTTCTGTTTTACGAGAGAATTTAAGTTTTTATAACAGCTGTAATAATAAGTGAAGACAGACTAAATCATGTTCCCGGTCAATTACATCCACATCAGGAGAAATTTCGTGTTGAAATATCGAAGGAACACCTGCAGGTTGACCACAGTTTTGTCCTGTCACCTGTCGTCATGGTGTTCCTTCCTGCTTCCAGGTTCTGGACGGATTCTGGATCAAGTCCTCTGGTTAATATGTCTGGTGGTTATAGCACATCAATAAACTGACTTACTCCAACACTTGTTTTATTACTTACAAATAAGATTGTACACTGTGTTGACTGACCCTACCAGGTAACATCTGACTAAGGGAACTTCACTCTGTTAACTTTTTGAACATACGGTAGGAATTTGATATTGGCAGTGATGTGATGGGCAGAAGCAGGTCTTTAACACTGATGCCACGGTGGGCATGCAAACTGCCCAGTTTACCAGCTGTCAACAGTCCTGGGAGCTTCTCTAGGAATTTGAGGACCCTAACTATGAAGTTACTGAAGAGGTGTCACTTTTAACACGTGTAGAGCTTAGCTGGGACCCTGTCGGCCACCAAAAACAATATAGAATTTGCAAGTTTTCCAACACATACGTGACACATCCCATAAACAGTTACCTTTTACTGATCTTATGAAAGCAAACTTGGTTAATTTGTGCTGGTCAGGAGGGGCATGCTCAGCTGTAGCACAGCATCTTTGCAACTTTGTGGCTAGAATATAAGGATTTCAACCCTTCACTGCTAATGAAACAAGTTACTGTGAGTCCTAGGGTTTCCAGAGCTAGGATAAAAACAATGAAAAACCTAGTTCAGGAGGCAACAGGCTTCCAGTAAAGGCCAATCAGTATTTCAGCCTTGGGCCACCTGGTCTGTCACACCCCTTCACAAGGCCAAGCCCACGAGAGCAGCGCAGATCATGTCTGAGCACAGGCGCACGGCCATGTTCAATACAACGCATGCACCACCAGGCAGCAGGCCAGGCACACACTGGAAACAGGCCCGATCACTCCCACAGCCAGTTCGTGAACCAGGTCGAGCCCAGTCTTAGATCCAAGGACAGTGTTCAACAGAAATGAGGCTTTGATAGTAACAACACCTTTACTGCATTGTCCAGCCAAGGACACAAACACAACACGTCTTAAGAAAAGCGCCAGGCAATACCTACTCACTACAACTACTACCTACAGCAAAATTAACCCCCTCAGTCATTTTGGTCGTCATCCCAGTCTTTCTTCCCAGTGGGAGGCTTGGGCCCACCAGCCGGTTTGGCCATGATGATCTGCAACAAAAAACAAGAATATGCTTAGAAACTCAAGCTTTAGGAGGAAGAAAGACGTTTCTAGTGGCCTGGCTGAAGACTGCGCAACCATCTAGCGATGAGCCATGGGTTCACAGTGCACATGAAGTTCAGACCCTCGTCAGCACTCAGCAGGGCGTTCCCTGCTTTCCTCATTACCCCAACAAAACCCACATTGGTTAGGAAAGGCATTCATTCCCTCCAAAACGTGCAGGCCAACACCCACGGAGCCGAGAGAGACTGGAACGCACCACCAGCACGAACTAATCCACATGGCACCCGATTTGCTATTTATACACGAGTGTTGTCTTGCCACCATCTTTATCACAATTTCCTTGAGGTGTAGGAACTTTAGGTCCACCTGCTAGTTTTGCCATTAGAATCTGAAGAGGTTAATCTTGGGAGAAGCAAGTGAGGTGGAGACTAGCAACCTGAACACAGGGACCACCAGTTGGTGGTGGTTACAGGAATACAAATTGCAGCTCAGTACAAAGAAACCCCTTCCCCCTCACAAGAGGACCAGAAATACAGCTGGGGTTTTGTGTAGTCGATTTAAAAAAAAAATATATATATATATATATTTTATTGACTTTTTACAGAGAGGAAGAGGGGGATAGAGTTAGAAACATTGATGAATCATCAATCAGCTGCCTCTTGCACACCCACTACTGGGGATGTGCCTGCAACTAAGGTACATGCCCTTGACTGGAATCGAACCCAGGACCTTTCAGTCTGCAGGCTGATGCTCTATCCACTGAGCCAAACCGGTTTTGGCTTGTGTAGATTTATTAGTTGGGTGTGTTTATATTGATGTATTGGGTAGTTTTCGTTGAAAATATGTAATTTCTAGTTTTAAAATATAGCAGAAGCCTAAGGAAATGCTTATTCTAAAAGTTACCATGTGGCTAAGAATTAAAACTATCAAAAGTAAAAGGGAAAGGCAATGGGAGCAGATTGGCTGCAGTCGCTGAGTGCCTCGGGCACAAAGGTGCTTTTGGGTCTTGGGTTTCAACGGGAGCCTGGGCTTTGTTAGTTTACTGTTGTCTGCCTGGTCTGCACTTGGGAAAACAGGTACCCAGCAGCCATCTGACCACACTCACGAATTTGTGTTGCTGCTGTGAGTTTGTACCTAATTTTGCACAGCATATATTCTGGGATGGGACTTGGAAATCCAGTTTTAAGTGTTGGATAATGTAGGAGGGATGGATTGATCTTTGTCAAAAAACAGTCCACAAATCAGCATCACCTAAAACATGTTAAAAATTCAAATTTTGGGGCCCATCCCAAACTCACTGAATCAATAAATCTGGAAGGAGGCCCTGCAATGTGTTTTAAAGAAGCCCAGAAAGTTTGAGAACTAGTCTAGGTATTTTAAAAAAAATCAAGCTACACTTAAGATTCTGAAATTATAATTGATCCCTTTAGTTCAATCTGAACTTACCTTCAGTTTGTAAAGTGGTATTCTAAGAATTTAAGATTCATGGTTCTTATGGAAGCTTCTGAAAAGAGGTGTGAGGGAGTGGTATTGTGCTTTAAACAGAAGCCAAACATTCCTTAGTATAAATTTGTGAGGTAATAACTGTTTCTAGTTTTGAGATTCAGAAATTATGAATTACAGTGTTCTGAGGAAACCCAACTAATTTAATTTTAGACTCCCCAAATTAATTTCAGCCCTGAACTATCACCTCTTCTCCCTTTTTTCCAAACAAATCCTTCTATATAATAAAAGGCTAATATGCAAATTGACTGAACTGCAAAGGACTGGGTGTGCACTGACCACCAGGGGGCAGACGCCCAACGCAGGAGCTGCGCCCTGGTGGTCAGTGTCCTCCCACAGGGTGAACACCACTCAGCCAGAAGCTGGGCTGGCGGCTGGAGAGCAGTGGCCCACCTCTGCGGCTGTGCCAAGGATGTCCCACTGCAGCTCAGGCCGGCTCCCTGTCAGTCGGACACCCCGAGGGCTCCCAGACCGAGAAAGGGCACAGGCTGGGCAGAGGGACCCCTCACCCCGAGTGCACGAGGGTTGTGCCCGAGGCCCCTAGTCCTTTAATGATGCTAGATGGCGGTTCCTGGGGAACGCTGGGCTGCACGTGGTAGATGAAGCACAGGCTTCTGGTGTGTGCTCTCCAGTCACCAGGGAGCTGGGCAGGTGAACTGTTCACACCCCTCCTGCCGCTGGAGTGGTTCTCAGGTGCACCGCTAGCAATTTCAGTGTGAACTTAGTGTTTATGCATTAGCGTGGTGTAACTGTCACTTAATGGACGTATGCTGTGCTCCCACAAATTACAACTTTCTATTAAGTACTTATAGATATTTCATTGCTTAGAATCACTTCTAAAATTTTTTAGAAAAATGAACTTCATTAAGTTTACTAGAAAACACCTTGAGAAATTATGAATTTGAGTTTGTCTCTGAATCTAGTCATTATCCACAATTTTTTTAAATGCAGAGAAATACTATTTTTAATAGCTTTAAAATCTACATGTAATTTGTTGCAGCAGAAAAGTTAAGCATCCATTTCCTACCGCCTCATGAATTCCCTACAAGCGGTGACCTGCAGTGTCTGCCCTCTGTCCTGCCTCATTCCTCACTAATGTCGCCCCAAACTTCCTCTCCATGCTGTTTTACAAAGGGCCTGAAAACGAGGACTATAAATCCAATCGGTCTGACTCATTCCAGTTTAAGAATAAAGACACCGGCCCAGCCAGCAAGGCTCAGTGGCTGAGTATTGATCTATGAACCAGATGGTCACAGTTCGATTCCCGGGGAAGGCATATACTCGGATTGAGAGCTCAATTCCCAGTTGGGAGCATGCAGGAGGCAACCGATTGATTTTTTCTCATCATTAATGTTTCTATTGCTCTTTCCCTTCCTCTCTCTAAAATCAATAAAAACACATTTGAGGGGGAAAAATAAAGAATAAAGATGTTGGTGCTGGCCCTCCTACACCCATCAGGCGAAGATGAGACCACACCTTTGAGCAGAATGAGAACTGTGCTCGGCCTAGTTCCATGAAAACAGTACTGAGCCCATGAACATTAGTTTTTCTGAAGATCAAACCTCCCTCCCCTCACCTGGTCCACTCTGAGCACAGTGACGGCGGCGTTGGTAGCCAGTTTGATGGCCCAGTACTTCCCTAGGTACGTGTCCAGGACACCAGCCTCCAGCATGTCCTTCACAGCAGGGACTTCAGCCTGTTGGCAGAGCAGTTCTCACTCTAGATTCTTTTATGTGGAAATGTGTAAAGGATAAAAGTGCTACCCTACACACCCTACAAAAGATTATTAATAAAATAGGAACACTAAATTCTCATTCCTTTTCTTACACAAGTATTTCTACTTTTAGGTTTTGCATTCACAAAATAAAGTTCAGTGTTTTTTCCAAATACCTCAATATCTAATCCAACGTTTTTATTTCCTTCCTGATGTACTGCATAGAGTTTGGAGATGACTTCGTTGGCTTTAACCCCCGAGTTCTCCGACAGTGCCCGGGGAATAGCTTCAAACGCCTCCGCGAACTTCTTGATGGCGTACTGTTCCAGCCCAGGACACGTCTGCGGCAGAAACAAGCTCGTCAGTGGATTTGTTACGTCGCAGGAGGAAGCCACTGCCCCAAGAGCGGTACCTCTCCGTAGGACGTGATCTGCTTGGCTAACTCGATTTCTGTTGCTCCACCTCCAGGCACAAGACGTTTATCCTGTGACACGCAGAAACAGCCAGTGAGCCAGAGCTGTTTTCTGGGCTCCCCCACGACTTGCCGGTCAGGACTGGCTCCTCACTCTGAGCACAGCTGTCACCAGCTGCGAGCTCTGGGCGCCAGGCACGGGAGGAGGGAGAAGGCACTAACGGGAGCAGGTCACCAGTGCAGACCGAGCGCCAAGAGCTGTGCCTGTGCTGGAACAGCTCCCGGACCTCAGGCAGCAGGGCCCTGCTTCCCACCAGCCGCCCACGGGAAGGCCTCCCGACGCTTAGGAGTGTGCACTGCGCCTGAGCCCTGCAGAGCGCGCTACCTCCAGACGCCTCGGTACTGACCCTGGTGAGAACTTTGAAAGTGTTCACAGCGTCGTCCACCGCCCTCTCCACGTCATCCATCAGGTTGTCTGTGGAGCCTCGGAGCACGATGGTGGAGATGGCCCCGTCCTCTTTTTCTGTGGACCAAGGGCAGACGTGTGGGGACGAGTCCAGGGCACCAACACCCATGCTGCCGACACCTGCACCCTCCCCACCTACCATGCTTGAAGACCACCACCTGGGTGTCCCCCACTTCCGAGAGGGAAACACTGTCACAATGCCCCATCTCCTCAGCCACAGGAGGAGTCTGTAAGAAAGCGACCGTTGTAACAACAGTAACCAATAGGCTCGGCCGTTTGTTAATGTGTCCAAAATGCATACCAGCCTAGGCAGAGCCGTAGCACCAACGGTCTTACACAGCCGCCGGAGGTCCCACTTTGAGTTCAGCCTTAAAAACAAAACCCAAAAACAAAGACCTTAATAGAAGCCTTGATTCCAACAGGGAGGAAAAAATGCAGAGGTTCAGCAGGAAACTGTACCCTGGTCCCCATGCCACACATTTCTGACCCGAAGATTCAAGCTCAGAAAAGGTTAGGATTGCATGGTGAGCCCAGGGGTGTGTGTGTGTGTGTGTGTGTGTGTGTGTGTGTGTGTGCATGGTGAGCCCAGGGTGTGTGTGTGTGTATGTGTGTGTGACACACATTATTCTAGAACGGGGAGCTTCAAATCCCCGTCAACGTTGAGGGGTCAGTGTAAAGCACGAGGGTACGTAGAAAAGGTCTGCTTTCTTGTGGCAGCCACATTTGAGGGAAGAGAGCGGGGGCTGACCTGCTCATTAGATCACGTGCAAGAAGGGGGCAGGGAGAGGGCCTGTCCAGTGCCTCATGCCGACCCCACTCTGGTGACTGTGCGGGCCTCTGCCGGAACGCCTTCCCTCCCTCTCTTCAAACGACGCCCCAAGACTGTTAGTTCTTTAGCTCTTTGATCTAATGCCTTACGCTTCCCTTTTGGACAGTTGTCAGGTGTGCTGGACGAGTTTAGTGTCTTATCGTCACAGGCGGACAGAGGAAGGGCCTCACCTCACCAGCATGACGTTGTATTTGTTTGCATAATGGAGAGCCATGTCTGCCACCTTGCCGCCCGTGACGACGACATTCGCCCCGGTGTCAGCGATGGCTCTGACCTGGGCGTCCATCAGGTTTTCTTCCCCCTTGCTGAAGTTCATCAGCTCCTCGGCAGTCTTTATCAGCACTGTTCCCTAGCAACGCAAGCAGGAACTCTCTTTAAAACAATTTCACTGCTTAGATGTTCAGTCATAAGAGAGCATTCTACTGAAGAAATAAAGATTTGGGAAGCACATAAAAATACACGTGAAGATATTATGAAGCAGAATATGAAATCTTTACAACAGACACCCAGCTTGTTCCCCGACTCCCCTGTTCCAAACGGATGCCTGCCCTCTAACAGGCACCTTGGCAGAAAGGCTGGAAACGCCTCACGTTCTGTTGGGCAAGGGTCTGGCATCGGACTTTGACGAACAGTCACCGATGTAACAATGGAGTTCTTCCACTACATCAACAATCATCTGCCCAGTGCAAAATGATAGGCTTCACTGTGCCAAGCAGACAGTTTTATAAAAAAGTGAACTGATGGCCACTTCCCCACCCAGACCTGTTGCACTTCTGAACCTATCAACTCGGATTCCAACTATCCAGGAGGAAGTCAGCAGTGACCCATAAACGTCACACCTGACCTGCACGTGGTTAGGAAAACACACCCGTCCATTGGAATCACATCAGCATGTTTTTAAGAGCCAGAGGAGCCCAGCGCCACCTTAAAGCATCAACGGACAGCACGCAGCACGGGGACTCCCTGGTGGGCACCTGCTGCTGAGTGTGACTTCTAGAGGCCAAGGGCCATCTCAATCACAACAGAAACCACACTCCTGTGTAGACTCAGCTCAATACTCAGTGTTGGAGTTAATTTTCAGATAGAAGCCCGGCTCTAAAATCAGACGTGATCTGTGGTTTCCAATAAGCACACAGTCGTCACTGGTGAAGAGCAAACCGCCCAGAATACAGGACCCAGGCGCCTGCGAGGGCAGCCCCCGCTCTCCCGGCACTGGTACCTTGGTCTCGGTTATCATGCCGTCGAAGGGACACGAGTACACGGCTATCTTAGCGTCTTTGACAGAGGTCACATCCCCTTCCGCTTCTTTCTTGAAAACCATGCCATGCAGGACCGAAGAGGAACAGATGCCTGAGCCCTGAGGAGCAACATCAAAGCCATCCATGAACTCACCTGCATCTGGGCTGTGCTGCCTCTGCAGTGACCAACACACCCTCTTTGACCTGTGACATAGACAGCAGTCTGGCTAATGGGGATGGGTGGGAAGGAGCCACTGATATGGGGGAGGGGAGAGGGCCTTCAGTTCAATAGGAGGAGCCAAAGACAGAAAACGGTTCTCATCCATCCATCATCCACCTACCCATCCACCCACCACTGTCCACCCCACCCCCAGTACTGGGGCAGAATAGAGAACAAGTTTCGTTTCAGATCTCCCAAGCTCACCACTTAATAGGCAGGGGAGAGTGCATGAGGGAGTCAGAAAACAGCATGTGCACATTCACACACACAGCGGGCATGTGTGCTTGGGTCGGCAAAACTTCCGCTACATCAACAATCATATGGCAACACGCAAAACCACCAATTCTGATTTTAATGTGCCAAGCAGGCATTTTTATAAAAAATACATGCTTATTTCATGCCAACATTAAAGTTATTATTGCAGAGCAAAGGACAACTTCCACCCCACTCAAAACTGCCTAAGCTTGCGGCTCTGACGCAGCACATGGAAAGAATATGAAGATCAGTGTTTTGTTGCGCTCGCTCTCACCCTTCAAGCAGTCATGGAAGAATGACAGCTGTAGCCCTAACCAATATGGCTCAGTGAATAGAGTGTCAGCCTATGGACAAAGGTCCTAGGTTCGATTCTAGTCAAGGGCATGTACCTTGGTTGTATGCTCCTCCCCAGCCTGGGCCATGGTTAGGGTGTGTGCAGGAGGCAACCAATTAACAAATTTCTCTCACATCAATGTTTGTCTTTCCCTCTCCCTTCCACTCTCTCTCAAAATCAATGGGAAAATATCCTCGGGTGAGGATTAAGATAAATAGTTAAGTGCCAAAACCCAAGGCAAGGCTTAGGTGTAGATTAACACAATTTCCCCCACTAAACAAATAACTTATCTAGGTATGTCAAAGGCATTTTCTAAACTTACCAGAATCTTACAAACTCTGATGTTATCCACGTTGAAATGGCCCGACTCGGGAAAGATGGACACTGTTGAGAGAGAGGACGCATCAGGAGCTGCATGTGGGACAGCAGAGGAAGGACCGCTGTCCCATCAGACAAGGATTTGGATCTGTACTCACCACAGGCCTGGGCGATGAGCTTGGCCAGAAAGGCTTCGTTACCATACTGCTTGCTCATGATGGATGTGTGGAGGAGAGACGCCACTTCATCAACATCTCGGAGATTTTTTGCAGAACAACAAACCAAACTAGGAAGAATCTCGTGGGCTTTCCTGCAGGCTATTTCGTATCCTTCGATGACCTTACATGTGAAATGCAAAAACGGTTCTTATTATAGTGACCCAATGAACATGCACATTTTCAATATACAATAGCAAAGCACACGTCCAGAAGGACATCTATGGCAGAGCCTAGGAGCTAGGACAGCCGTGGGCGAGAGGCCACATATTAGCAACAAGTGCCTGAGGCCTCACCTTCTCCTAAATGGAATGGGGTGTAAGATTAGCCTCCCGGACAGGCTCCGGTGCGGAAGAGGCTCCAGGACTGATCTGTGCTGGGCTGCAGGGCAGGCCGCAGCACTGCAGAAGGAAGGCTCACGCTGCTGGGCTGTGAGGATGGCTCCTTGAAGCAGTGGGGGTGTGCGTGCATGAGCACACATACACTAACCAAGACACTGAAATGACAACTTGCCTCGGAGACCGACAGGCCAATCCTCAGGAGCTCCTCAGCCAGCTCCAGCAGAGCGCCGGCAAACACCAGCACGAAGTTGGTGCCGTCTCCCACCTCTTGCTCTTGCATGTGCGAGGCCATCACGATCATCTTAGCAGCAGGATGCTGCACCTGGTGGAGGGAGTGAGTTTAACAGCAAGTTAAGACACCTGATCTTTAAAGCAACACAGCCATTCATTCCCATTTCTTCTTCACCAGTCAACTCCCATCTCCCACCTCCCAGTAATCCCCTGCACAGATGGACGGTGTGGTCACAGGGGACAACCAGGCACCCGCGTCCCGGGTCCCATGTGGTCACTGTGCACGGGAACGACCTCAAAGCCCGTCCGCTCTTCGCCTACAGCCGCCAGCACGTCCATCTCCACACACCAGGCCAGAGATCATTGTATGTTCACTAAACTAAAAACACAGTAACGCCCACCACTGACTCAGGCCTTTAAAAAAAGCTGTATGAGAGCCAAGTAGGTCTGGTTTAAGTGGGATGTGAGTCTCTCTTTCTGGGTTTATTCTTATTATAAGGGAATCAATTGTGACTTGAAAAAGGGAATAGAAAATGTTTCTTCCAAAAAAGTACACCAAGATTTAAGTGTTTTCCCCTTAGGATTCAGATGCTTTTTTAGAAACAAAAAGGGGTACCAAGTGGTGGCGAGAAGATGAAGCAATCAGTACCATGATCACATCATGAGGACTGTACTCCCACAACTGCACGACTGCGAGAACAGCACAGCCAAGACCCTCACAACGACAGGTCCCTCCGGCATCTCCTTTTGTTCAGTACGTTCAGAACGTATTGTTATTTAGCAAGTGAGAGAAATGTTAACTCTCCTGTAGGGTTCATTTAAAAGGACTGAGTCATGCGGCTTTAAGAGCCAAGTTCAGGAACCCGGCGGAGGGTCCCCCAGCCTCTGGGACAGGCGGTGACAAGGGACGGTGCTCAAGTGCTGACTGTCCCGAGAACCTGCAGGCGCTCCTCTGCTGCACTCTGCGTCAGAACGGCGCTGCTTCATTGTCAGAGCCAAACAAGTGGCTTTTCTCCAAGCCACCACTGAGCACAGCTGTCCCTGCCTTTAAGCCACACCAGAGCCACACACACTTCAGAACAGACAACAGATCCATCTGAGTGATTAGCAAACATCCTTTTTGTTGTTGTCAACCCTCACCTGGGAACATTTCCCCATTTATTTAAAATTGAAAAACAAATGTTTTCACTGATTTCAGAAGGAGGAAGGGAAATATCCATGATGAGAGAGAAGCACTGATTGATTGGCTGCTTTCTGCACACCCCTTACTGGAGATCAAGCCTGAAAAACCAGCATGTGTCCTGACCAGGAATTGAATGCTGACCCCTGGATTCACAGGCTGACGCTCAACCACTGAGCACACCAGCTGGCCTCCACTGATTTGGAGAGCGTGGAAGGGAGGGGGGGAGAGAGAAACACTGGTTGGTTGCCTTCCACATGTGCCCTGACCAGGGATGGGGATGAGCCTGCAACCAAGACAGTGCTTCTGACCAGAACTGAACCCAGGACCCTTCAGTCTGCAGGCCGATGCTCTGCCCACTGATCAACCCAGCCAGGCCTGATGGGCTGCCTTCCAAAAGCACCCGACGGGAACAAACATTCTGGAGCACAGGACGATGTCCAACCAACCGGAGTGGGCCGGGCCGGGCCGGCCAGGGCTGAGATAGTTTCTTCCAGGTTCTTGGCTTTTCAAAAGAAGGAACTTACTTCTAGCTCTCTTAGAATGGTCGCAGCATCATTTGTCACAAACAGCTTCTCCAGGTGGTTGATAACCATTTTGTTCATCCCTCAAAGGTAAGTTAGAAAACAAGTCCATTACCATTCAGATCCTTCTCCCAACACCCAGGAGACTCATTAAAACCTGTTCCCGTGCATTTCTTAACCTGGAAGAACCCACCCTCTCCAGCTCCCCATACACACCAGGTCACGCCACCCCCTTGCACGTCCCCAGTTCACTTGGGACAATACCAATCTCCTATTCGGTCGATAAACATAAGCCTGCACTGACTAGATCCCATGGCTGGCAGGAGGAGGGGATCTGCTCCCTAAGCCAGTCTGCTGGGCGATGCGGGCACTTGTAACGACGGCCGTGAGCTCCTGTCCGTAGTCAGAGCTCCAGTTCCTTCGTGCTCCCCAGAGAACAGAAAGGAACGTTTGGCTCCTACTTTCCTAAAGGTGACCTGAGCTGCTGACTGACACTGGGAACCTGACCGGTGTGGCTCATCGGGTCAGAGGCATCGTCAAAGCCGCCTTTAGGCCGCTCTCCAGCGAACGGAGGAGCCGTGGAGTCTGCACGCTCCTAAAGCAGTACGTGAGCTTACCGTTGGGCCCATACGCCGTGCGAGTGGTCTGGGCGAGCTCCTTGCAGGCCTGGATGTTCCTGTACACGGCCTCTTCCAACCCGGAGAAGTGCTGTGAACAGACCTTCTGATTAGAACGAGAGGCGGACTGGTCCTTCCCAGAGAACAGCGGGTCCCGTGACAACACCGCCCTCCGGACCCTCCCGACCACCAGGAGCCGCAGGCTGAGAGCGCGCACGCTGCCTGGTGTTCACGACAACGCAGTCCCCACTCGTGTAAGGGGTGGAACACGGCCTTTAGGGGCCTGGCCTGTTCTCCACCTCTCTCTGCAGGGAAGGCCCACGAGCTCCTTCAGGAGGGAGCACCGTCCTGACCAGCCGTGGGGAGTGGAGGGAGCGATTTCTGTCGGGGCCTGAGCTCAGCGAGGCCAGCAGCTCAGGGTCCCTGGGAAGTCCCATGAGTGGCCCTGCCGGCGTGCTCAGGGCCTGGAGGGCAGGTTCCCAATGCCCCTCAACCCTCTGCCCCCACCGACTGGCTCCCCAGTCCTGCACAGAACACAGGAACCCTGCTTCACTCGGATGCTCTGCACTTGGGGGTGACTGTGGCCTCAGCCTCACCTTCGTTAGGGCTGCTTCCCCGGCACAGCAGCCCAGGGAGCCACCTTGCGGAGCTCAGCCAGTGCCCCTCTCCCGCCCCACGGGGCCAGTCCCTGCACACAGTCTGGCAGCACCGACTCCGTCCCGGTGAGGCTGCCGTAATGTCCGCAAGAGGAACCGTGACCCAGGCAATGCCAACCCCGACCTGACCTGCCGCTGTCTTCAACCTCCTCTTCTGCGCCCTCCTTCCTCCACCTGCTCTCACCTCTGACCCCGAACCAGGCCCCCTCCTCCTCAGGGACAAGGCCTTCGGAGCGCCATCTCCTTCCTCCCGGTTCTCCGTGGCCTCACCCCACTTCCAGGGTCTGGGCCCTCGGGCCCCCTCCGGCCTGTCACCGGGGCCCTGTCCACCGCCGGGTCTGCCATCACCGAGCTCCCTCCCCTCCTGGTCTGAACCTGTGATCCCCGCCTCCGGCCATGGCTTCCCCCGCGTGTCCATCAGTGGCCGTCACGCTGTCCCGACCGTGCGTCCTGCCTGCAAGAAGCTCGCCCCCCGAAATGGAACCTCGCTGCCCGGTTCCGTAACCGACCACAGGAGGCCGGGGGCAAGGAGCAAGGCCACGGCGGGCAGCCAGAGCCGGCGGCCGGCGGAGCGCGGACAGTAGGAAGCGATGCCCGGACGGCACTCCGCTCCGGCCGCAAAGCCGCGTGGGCCGGGCCGGGCCGGGGCCCAGGTCCCGCGGGCGGGCGCACAGCTCAGGGCCGCTGCGGCCCGACCCCCATCGGAGGGGCCCGGACCACGTGGCCGAGGCCCGCCGGCCCCCGCCCCGCCGCCGGCCCGGGGGGCGGGGACGGCGCGCGGCGGGACGCGAACCAGGGTCGCGGGGGGACGGAGGCGCCACGGCCGGACGCGCCCCCGCCCCGGGCACCGCCCTTTCTAGAACCTTCTCTCCCTCCGACCGCGGGACCCAGAGCAGCCGTCCTCCCCGCCGCGGCCGCCACGCCCGCCCGCTGCCCGGCGGCGCCCCCACCTTCGCTCCCTCCTTGAGCATCTGCGCGAAGCCCGGGGCTTTGGGGACGTGGAGCGCCATCGCTGCGCCGCGGAAGCCGTTCACGCGCCGACCCGGAGAAGCGAGGGCCGCACAGCCTCCTGGGAACGCCGCGCCGCCTCGGGCCCCGCCTTCTCTCGGGATGCCCCGCCCCTCCCGCCGCTGGCGGCGGCCTCGCGAGAGGGAGCAGTTCCCGCGCCCAGGCCGTGCTGACGATCCCCGAGCAGGTCGATCGACACGGCCGGGCGCGGGTGCACCTGCGGCCTTCGGGTCCGCGCACGTGCAGGCCCCCAGGCGTGGCGTTCGCTCCCCACGGTTCCGGCTCCGCGGGCGCGGCGTGCGGGCCGTCGCGTTTCCTGTTTCCGGGCGGAGGCCGTGGCTGCCCCTCAGGTTAATTCGCACGCTATGCTCCGGAGCCGCCGACTGGGTCGGGGCAGGTCCCTTTCCGCCCAGGTGCCCGGCCTGCGCTGCGGGTGTGGTTCGGCGTGTGAGCGTCTGACCCCGCGGTGCCCGCGCGGGGGCAGGAGGGGCGGGCTGGTCCCCGGAGCATTTCCCGCTTCGCTGCCCCGGGGCGCGGCTCGGGGCGGCTGAGGCTCCGGCTCTGGGCCCCGAGTGGTGCGTTCTTGGTCGCGGGCCCGGTGCCCCGGTGCCCCGCACAGAGGCTGTGGCTCCTGGCCGGTTCTGTGCGCTGGGATCGGTCCCTGGACGCGGCCGCAGAGCTGGCTTCCCCACCCCGTGTAGGTGTCTGAGCCTGTGATCCCTGGTATGAGAACTTTCTCTCCCTCTCCCTTCCTTTCTGTAAACAAAACCAATAAGTTATATATGTATTTTTTAAAAACCACGTTCTGCTCTGCCCGATGGTGGCTCAATGGCTGGGCGTGGACCGAGGAGGTCAGGGCACACGCCCGGTGGCGACCTCCAGAGCGGGGCGGGCGGGCATGAGGCAGCCGATTCACTATTCTCATCCATGTCTCTCCCTCTCCCTTCTGCTCTGAAATCAATAAAATATATTTTTAATGTTTATATTATTTTTATTTTTTAATTAAATTATTATCCGTGTACATATTTTAACATTGCCCCCCCTCCATATATACCCTCGCTCCCCAGAGTTTTGTGTCCATTGGTTGTACTTATATGCATGTATATAAGTCCTTCAGTTGATCTCTTATCTCTCCCAGATCTCCCTAAAATATTTTTAAACAAACAAAACTCTGCTTATAAACCCAGATGGTTTCTGTTTCCTACCCGAAATGCCGATTGAGGGTTGTGAGAAAGGTAAAAACAGTCCCGGCCAGAACTCCGCTTTAACTTCTAACCATCTTATCCAATCCCAGTGCAAACCCTAACAGAAAATGGCTTTGAGGGAATTCGCTGAAGGCCGCAGCACTCAGGTGAGAAACCTGCCCTGGGTCACGCCAGCAGCTGGGCGCTCCGAATGGTGTTTGACAAGCATTTTGGTATCTCGCCCTCGCCCTCGCCCTTGCCCTCGCCCTGGCAGGGTCAGGGATAGGGATAGCACGTGGAGTGGTCAATTGTCTCCGTTCTAGGTCTGTTGTTGCTGTCAGACATCTCGTTGAGTGGAATCTTTTTTATACGACCCGTGCGGAAACGTGTCCCGGTAACCACTTTTTATTTTATGGCCTCTATAACCTTATATCTTTTCTGTTTCTCTCTTTTTTAAAAATATATTGATTTTTGAGAGAGGAAGAGAAACCAATGATAAGAAAGAATCATTGATCGGCTGCCTCCTGCACATCCCATGTTGGGGATCAAGCCACAACCCAAGTATGGTATGTGCCCAAACCCGGAATCCAACCGTGACCTCCTGGTGCATGGGTTGACATTCAACCACTGAGCCACACCAGCCGGGCTTTTATTTCTCTCTTAAACTGCTAGGAATATTGAGCCAAATGTGAGGCCCAGCTATCACAACTATACAGGTGATGTTTTTCTAAGCCACACCATATCCTTTAGGGCAGTGGTCAGCAAACTGCAGCTCGCGAGCCACTCAGACACACGTCCTTATAAACACGCACACACGCATATATACACACTTATGCACACACGCATGTATACACACATTCACATCCACGTTCACAGACACAAAACACACACAGAGACATTCACACACTTATACACACAGGTTCACATATACTCACATGTACACTCGGACACACTCGAATACACACATTCACACACACACTCATATACACAAATGCACACTTATATACACACATTCCCACACTCACACTTTACCCTGTGTCACCTGTGCTCGTGTCACACGGTGGCCGGGCCCCGGCTAAGGCTCCTGTGACGATGGTAAAGCCAGGCTTTGGGAGGCTCAGGAAACAGATTTGTGTTACTGGTGTATTTCCTGTTATCATTTTTATTGTTTGCTGCATAACTTTTTAAAGCCAACCCATTCCCTTTTAGCTGATGGAGTAAAATCAGCGTCGTTCCGTTGACCTTTGCAGGGTGTGACATACGTACAAGGAGGAGCAGCTGGAGGAACCCAGAAACCACATGTTGGTCCTCACACAGCTCAGCACGTGGTGGAGGTAACGCAGGCCCCAGCCTGCATGGTCTCTGCTGACTGCACACCGCTGTTTTAGAACAGGAGCATGTTTTAGAACAGAAGGTGGGCGGATGAATTAGCTGCTCTTTTATTTTGTTTTATTAATTTATTATCTGTGTACATTAGTTGCTCTTTTTACGCTCACAGTTAAACGTCTCACAGAGAACACGTGGAGCTGTGTCTAGTTCAGCTGCTGGAGAAATGAAAATGTCTGTCTTTACCGACGATTAGGACCAAGGAGAGGTTCAGGGCGTGGCCGGTCCTGACCGAGTTGGGAAACCCAGCACCTCTGGGAGTGTGCTTCACGCCCCGCAGCTCATAATGCAGCTCTTCGCCACTCCGTTAACTTCGGAGACGAAAGCAAACCAGGATTCCCTTCTGGGGCATCAGAGCTTTGTTTTCATTATAATCTTTACCTGAGTTCGGGTCTGATGTAAAGAAATTCTGTAATTGGCCTCTGATAGCACGGTGGTTAGAAAATGGGCTTTGGCCTCAAGCCTGGATAAATCCTTTGGGAGCTGTGTGTCCTGAGACAGATAGCCTAACCTCTCTGTGCTTCAGCCTCCTGGCCCACCAACCAGAGTCCATTCATTCATCCAACACCTAATGGGTGACAAGCACTGTTTCAAGAGCTGGAAACATAATAACGAATGTGTTTGGTCCAAATTCTCAGGAAGATGACATTCTTATTGGTGGAGAAATTTTTTAAAAATTAATTAGCATTAAAAATTTGCAGGGGTATTAGGTGTTCAGATGGGGACAAAACAGAGTGGTGTGGAGGAGGGTCTTTACCCAGAGTCATCAGGGGTCTCCCTGGGAGGTGGGACTTCGTCTGGCTCCTGACGGACAGGAGGAGGCACCCACGCCCAGCGGGAGGGCACCCAGCCAGGCAGCGGGTGCCGGGGAAGGCGGGAGGGACGTGAGCTCTGTGCGCTGAGGCCGGGATGGGTGCCATCGTGCGGGGAATAATCGGGTGGTTGTGACGATCACCCCAGCCGACGCACGAGGCTCAGACAGGGGCCTGGGCTTGGGGTGAACACGCTCCTGGAGATGCCAGACCGCTGTGACCGGGTCAGCCCAGGCACAGAACACACCGCACATTCAAAGACTTCATCTTGTGAAACTCCGGTCGAGCTACTGCGAGTGGATGGCGTGAGGAGGGGCCTGAGCTGACTTGGGAACCCATCGCCCACCACTCCCTCTGCCCTGTGGCTCCCACCTGGTTTGGCCATGCCCCCTCCCTCTCAGCACCTCTAAACTCCGATGCCTCCCCTCCTCTCCCCCTTGACATAGAATTCTTACTCAAAAAGTGACCCCTGTTCACAGGGAGGAAGCCTGAAAGGCCATGAACTTGGTCTAAACAAGCTTCCCAAGAACACGGCAGCCACGAAAGAGGAAGACGTCACTAAGAAACCGTTAAAAACAATAATAATATGAAGTGATGTGAAAAAATAGCAAAGTCTTAAAGAAAACTGCCAAAACTGGTTTGGCTTAGTGGATAGAGTGTCAGCCTGCGGACTGAAAGGTCCCAGGTTCGATTCCAGTCAAGGGCATGTACCTTGGTTGTGGGCACATCCCCAGTGGGGGTGTGCAGGAGGCAGCTGATCGATGATTCTCTCTCGATGTTTCTAGCTCTCTATCCCTCTCCCTCTCTGTAAAAAATCAATAAAATATATATTAAAAAAACAACAACAACATAGAGAACTGAAATGCATAAATGCCACAATATCTGTTTATATGCTGTACATGAGGTCCCTAGAACCACACGAAATGCAAACACTTCACTGCTCACAACTCATTCTCGAATCGCCCCTAAAAGTCAGATTGCCCCCCGGGGCGTGTGCCCACGTGGGAACCACTGGTCTCAAGTTCTCTCTCATTGTCGCGGGCGGCCTCATGGGTTCTCCGTCATCATCACCAATTAAAGGGGCCCCACCCCAGGCCGGCACTGCTCATTGTTCTTGACCTTTGCCACTGCCGTGACATGGCACCCAGCCTGTGGCAGAACGCACCTGAAGGAGGAACCCCCAAACGCTGTGGTCGCTACGAAATGACAGCAACAGTCCGGGTCTCCCCATCGTCCTCGGTGGCCGAGCTGCTCTGACGTGGTGAGCCTGCTTACTGCGCAAAAGCTCAGAGATGCTCCCGCCCTGGTCGGTCGGGCTCCGTGGGCAGAGCGTCGGCCTGTGGCCGAAGGACTCGGTTCCCGGAGCTGGGGAGCAGCAGGTGTGTCTCCGGGCAGGATTCAGGTGCCAGGGCACAGCAAGGCTCCGTGACTGGCCGGCTCCTGCTCTGAGCAGCCGGCGGCGCAGTCCTCACTCTGCGATCCACGCCAGGTTTGCTTTCCCCGGGCTCTGTTTTCCAAGGTCTGGAGCGACTTGCTGGGAACTGGCATTGTACGAAGGGAAACGCAGTGTCGGGTCTCAATCGGCCCCTGGAGGAACGGACAGGCGGCCTTCCCCCCGTCACCCGCCCGCGATGCCAACAGCAGTGTCAGCTCAGAGACGGCCCAGGTCACTCCTCTCTGCTAACCCAGGAAGCTGCTCAGCTGAGGGGTCCCCAGG